TTGCTTGAGTGTCCATGTTTTGTGCATCATGATTGTCCTTCAGTCAGTCATTATGACTACTAAGATCTTACAGCGTGACATTGGAATCATGTTAGTGCAAACTGAAATGCTGCAATCGTTTAGGAATTGCACAGTGTGAGCTGGGCTATAGTGTGTACTAGCTGTTATGCATCAAATGTTCAGCCAGCAGTTAGTTGACATGACGTCTGAGGCTGAATTTACTCTCAAGCAGGGTTTATTTGGAGGTAGAGGTTCTGTCATAGTCTGAGGCTGTATGCCATCGCATCATAGGTCTGAGCTTTTGCTGTCACTATAGGCAATGACAACGCTGTGTATTACAGGAAAGACATTCTCCTTCGTCATGTGGCATTCTTTTCTGCAGGCTCATTCTGACACAACTCTCTAGCATGACAATGCCACTAGCAATACTGGTCATTCTGTGAGAGATTTCCTGCGAGACAAGTATGTCTGTGTTCTGTCATAGCCAGTAAAGAGCTCAGCTCTCATCAAGCATGTCTGGGACCTGTTAAATCTGAGGTTGGGGGTTATGGCCAGTTCCCCTCCCACCAACACCTCTACCACTAGGCATCAGATAATAACTGTTTTCAAGGTATACCGGGGTTTGGAAAAGTCAAGGTTTTAAAACCATCAACATTTTCTGTCATACCTTTCCTATGAGTAAGATTTTGTATTTACATTTTTTTTAGGACAACAGTATCTCCAGCAGGAAAGATCTTCAAAGATTCAGAGAGTTTTTTTTTTTTTTTTTTTATTTTTTATTTTTTTTTAATGTTTGAACCACTCTGCACTAGTGCAGATGTATCTGTGGATGGTTTGGGCAAAAAAGTTTAAAATTGAATTAATACAATTAGGGATGCTCTGATCAGGATTTTTGGATACAGAGTACCGATTCCTCGTCATGGTGATCGGCCAATACGGACTGATTCAGATGCGTCAAGCTTTATATAACTTTAACATCGCATAAAGCACATTTTCTCTCTAAATATGATACTTAAGTGAAGCTTTCTCCTTTTCCTAAAAGCATAAATGAAGGATGTTGCATAAAATCCCTTAAATGCGTCTCTTATCACCGTTTAGTGTGGACACTTCATGATCAGAAGTAGCTTTATACAGGGTGCATATGGTCATGGAAAACCTGGAGAAGTCATGGGATTTTGGCTTGGCATTTTCCAGGCCTGGAAAAGTTTTGGAAAAACAGAAAAACCCATAAGGTTTTGGAAAAGTCATAGAAATTACATTTGCAATTAGTCATTTAGCAGACGTTTTTGTCCAAATCGACTTAAGCTGGGTTCACACGAGAGCTTGTACTTGAGAAATTCTGTCGTATGGTGCTGTGAAAAGGGGTGGTCTTAAACAACATGATTAGACGTTAATAAAAGTGAGCGATTGTTCTATATTTTAAATTTATTAAAAATGATCTTCTGTTGGTCTTACGCAATCACGTGATGCAATTTCGCAGGTAAGAATTCACCAAGCTTAAACTTTCAAATGCAGTGAAATGCGAAACTTGTCACATGTGTTTGCCTTTCTGGTCTGCTGCATTCGCATGCCTATGAATGGAAATCTATGGAGTGAAAAGTGCAGTGTGATCACGGCTTTACAATAGAAGTAGTTTTACCTACCATTACTAGTTTAAAAAAACTAATAACATAATCTAAAATTAGTTTGACAAATATCTATATACTGGAATGAAGGTTAGTTGTTTTTACTTCTATTCTTGGCCAAAAACATAGTCTCGCATCATTAGTGCTGTGTAGGCATCATCTATTTGACATAAATATAAAAATAAATTTGAATAAAACTAAAGAGATTGTTGCATGTTTTTTCTTGTTATTTACCACGTAAACGTAGACATTACATGAAACATTAGGTCATGAAAATTGTCTTGAAAGTCGCTGAAAAGTCATGGAATTTTTGAAGCTAAAATGTGTATGAACCCTTTTTACAGAAAATTATAAATCAAACTGATAAAAAAAAATGGTAAGAAAAATGACTGACAATGCAATTTGAAAACAGTGCAAATAATGGAAGAATAATTCAACATGCTTCAATGAAGAAAACGCTTAGAGTACATTTTTAATGCTTAAAATTAAGTTAAAATGCATCTTCCTCTGCTTGTAAACCTGTAAACTAACACTTACGATCGGTTCATGTGATCGGCCAGACAAGCGAGTACCGATCGAGTCATAAAATATGATTATCGGCCGATACCGATCTCCAGCTGATTAATCAGAGCATCATTAAATACAATACAATGTTTACATTTAATTAATAGTAATATTAAGATAAGTACACATTTGCATAAGAGAACAAATTAAATGATTAGAGTAACCCTCTATTTGTCGCTTTTAGGATTGTAGCACTTTGAATACTTTGACCAGACGACCAATGAATGAGTGAATTAATCAATTAATAGAAAAAAAAAATAAAAAATTCTTCTGTGGTATCTTCTTTATGTAAGCAGGACAATTCTGATTGGTGGAAAAAATACTTTTGTTATTATTATTTTTAATTTTTTTTACAGTAAGTGTTTTGCATATACGCATGTCTTATCAATACAATGCTCCTAAAACACAATTACTTTGCACTTACACAAATTGTGATGTGCCAGGTCCAACTGAAAAGATGGGCTCCTGAGCAATATATACACACCGAGAATGGTGTAATCTCATCGTGATTCTCTGAATTGAAATTAAAATGAAATCTAATCAAAATGAATTGAATCCTCTGGCGCTAAAAGATTCCCACTCCTAATGATGATGGTATCTTGAATGAGGTTCATCTGTCCAAGCTCTATAATGGATTTAGTTTGACAGAGGAGTTTCATTAACACTAGCTGTAATCTTACGGTAACTGCCTGGTCTGACCTATGGGCAAACTGATGTGCTGATAGTGTACGTGACCAATGAATTCTCTGTAATTACAACCGATGGGTTTTTGAGAGAGGAAACACTGGTTTGTATAAAATACTATCAATATACAAAGACTACTGTATATATTGATGTACATACACTACCTAACAAAAGTCTTGTCATCGATCTCAGTTGTAAGAGCAACAAAGATTAACTTGACTTCTAGTTGATCACTGGAAAAGTGGCAGGAGGTAGATTTTTCAGATAAATTATCTGTTGAACTGCATCACAATCATCACAAATAACACAGCAGACCTATTGGATCCCACATAGACCCAAGATTCTCACAGAAATCAGTCAAGTTTGGTAAAAGGAAAATCATTGTTTTGGGTTACATTCAGTATGCGAAGTGGATGGCAACATCAACAGCCTGAAGTTTGAAGACATTTGTGCTGCCCATTACATTACAATCCACAGGAGAGGACACATTCGTCAGCAGGATAGTGCTCCTTCTCATACCTCACATTACGCCTCACATCAAAGTTCCTGAAAGCAAAGAAGGTCAAGGTGCTCCAGGATAAGCCAACCCAGTCACCATACATGAACATTATTGAGCATGTCTGGGGTAAGATGAATGCGAAGGCATTAAAGATGAATCCAAAAAATATTGATAACTTCTGGGAGTCCTGCAAGAACACTTTCTTTGCCAGATGACTTTATTAATAAGTTATTTGCAGAGATATATGGATGCAGACCTCCAAGCTCATGAAAGCCATACACAAAATAAATATTTTTTTTAGTTGCACACTTTTTTTTTTCTTTAAAATGAGTTGTAGTTCATATATTTATATAGCATAATAGAGCATGAACAATTTTACACTTTGAATTTCTACTGGAAATAAAACACCATCCAGGGACCTTTGGCATGCTCATACTTTTTAACATATATTGGGACACTAATTCTATTTTCAAATTTTTAGTTGGATGAAGTGTTTCTAACCAAGTCCTCCTGTTACCATTTGAAATGATTGTAAAGAAGATTGGGGTCATGTCAATCTTTTGATTGACGCAAACTAGAAATGCCACGTTTTAAACGTAATTACGGGTTAAGGGCCGATTACACCGAATGCTTTAAAAATGTGAGGTGCACTGCACTCCCTTTTTGTTGACTAGAAAAAAAAAGGAGCATGGTGTGCTTTTTATGTCGCTAGGCAATGACTGGATCAGCTGGGCATTGTTTGAGAGTGTTGCTGTTATGAATATAATTTTAATAATTAATTTTATAATATTCATTATTTGTTAAGTCATACAGCTCTGGATAACCTAAAACAGCAACCAAAAGTCTCTTCTCCGTTTTCAAAAGTCTTCAAAAAGTGACTGCTCAGAGTTGACTTATTTGAACTGAGAGCAAACGGCGTGCAGGGTCAAAAACGCGAGGTGCAGCAGGCGGTTAAAACGTGAGGTGCGCAAGGCACATAAGCAGCATGCAAAACGCTTGCAGCCGTTAGGAAACCATTCAAAAAAGCCACCTCTCAACGCATAAATCGCGTTCTTTGTGATTGGAAACTTAAGCAACAACAATAACGGGGCTGTTCAGTTCTGATTTTGTTGTTGATTTGAAGTATTTAAATTATTTGCGAGTTCAACCAGCAGTTTCTGATGTTTCACGATTCCACCGTTCATTTAGATAAAACTTTGGTCTTGGATGTACTGCCTGAAAGCATTGCAAATATGTTCGCAGAGTGAACAGATTCCTTGTGACAGGCTTTTGTTGCTAATAGCCTAGTTAGTGCATTGACACAGCACGGAGGTGCTCACTTGCTAGTAACTTTGTTTTTAATAGCCTAGTGGTTAGTGCACTGACACAGCACCGAGGTGCTCACTTGCTAGTAACTTTGTTTTAAATAGCCTAGTGGTTAGTGCACTGGCACAGTACCGAGGTGCTCACGGCAGCCCGAGTTCGATTCCCAGCTTTAGGTCCTTAGATCCTTCCTTTTCTGTAAATCTCCTTTGTTCTTTCACAATAAAGGTGAAAATCACTCAAAAAAAAAGAATTGTAAAAAAGGAAAGGAACTTTGTTTGTATATTCTCATTAATACAGTGTTTTCTTTTCTGTTTGTTGGTCAGAAGTGGGTATTGAACAGGCAGCACTACACAGACAGCAGTCACTCCCGCACAGACCTGTGATTCCACTAGTGGCCCGAATGGCGGATCAGAACACGTCTGGAACTCCAGCCATGACCGAGAGAGAAGCATCAAGACTTGACAAATTTAGACAGGTCCTGGCTGGGCCTAATACTGATCTAGGTAAGATGCTGTTCTGTATTCTTTTAACTTGATTTTTAATTGTCTAGAGGAGGCCATCATTTTTTCATGGTTTATTTTGTGTGTTTAACTGTAGTTTTTCTTTGCTAATTAGCAAGTTTTTAAAAATAAGATGAAATAAGATGAGTTTAGAAAACAGAGGACTTTTCTAAGCAAAAATCTTGTTGTGTTTATAAGTAGCTCGCCCTGACATGCATTTCATCCAGTCAGAAAACTAACACAGGCAGTTTTCCTGCCTATACCAATTCAGATTTAGTTGTAAGTATTATTTTACTTCTTTTTTCTTTTTTTATTTAGAAACGTACAAACATAATTTCAATATAAAAAATTTACCCCAATAACTTCATAATCAGCATGTTATGATGCATTAAATGTGTATACAACTATATTTTTGTGCTGACAACTACATTCTTGTATTATACCTGATTCAAATTATGAAAAAATTGAATTAAAAAGACATTGATTTTATTCCTTTTAAAAATTAAAGTTATATCAAAATCTAGGGGCATTTAACAGTCTGTATCTGTGTTCATTTGAAATTTTATTCATTTTCAATATGGTATGTAATGAGTGACCAGTGGATTCAGTGGCCGTGACATGAGTTGATCTTGGCAACTTTTAATTTTTACAACTAGCTCGCATATGAAATTAGGTTGGAGACCCTTGCTTTAGAGGGTTATCAGTTATTGTTAAAAAATATTTATAAAAATCAATGGCCCTATGTGGAAAACAAGAAAGAAATTAGTTTTTACTTCCTGAACATGGCTGCACTAACACACTCTATCAGACACCAGTACTAAATTTGGTAGTGCCGTAGATAATAATTTTACAAGTTTATATAAGGTAATAGGGATTTTACAAGTTTTTTCTCTTAGGAATGGAAATTTGTCAGTAGCTTGGGCTAAAGAGTGCAAATTGGGATTCAAATGTAGATTTACTTTCATTAACAAAAGAACAAAAGTGCCATCTGTCAAATTATAATAATAGACTCCTTTTATGGCCTGCATTTATTGATCACAATAACCGCAAACATTGTTCTCACTACCACAGGACAAAAAGGTAGCCAAACTTTGTCTTCATTACATTAATATGACAACAAATAGTTAATATTTCATCATTAATCAATATAATTATAAATATCAAGCCATACCAACTTGAAAAGAACAAAACCAACTTGAAAAGGACAAAACACATTTGTAATTCTCTTATTTTTTTTTATTCGATACTGAGTAATATTATAACACATTTTTAAAGATATTTTTGTTATATTATATTATATTATATTACATTATATTACATTATATTATATTATATTATATTATATTATATTATATTATATTATATTATATTATATTATATGAGTTGGAACTTTGAGTGTTCCAAAAAGTGCTATGTAAATCCTAGGAATTATTATTATTATTATTATTATTATTGTAAATTCGTTCCGGCAATTTTCAGGAAAGACAAGTTGTAATATTACCGATAATTTACCAGAATGCTGTGCTGTGTGAACGCAGAAAGAAATGATCCCATTCACCAATAGAACGCGCTTAAGCGAGACGTCTACTCCAGCCAATCAGAATACTCATTTACATTTACAGAAGACGCGTTTACATCTGTGCTGTTTATAACAATAAAAACCTTTGAATATAATTCCAGACACATTTAGCTGCTAGATGTTAGTCAGTTATAGTTTCTATTTACATTCTTTATGCCAACTGTGTAAAAAAATATTGATAAAATGCTTATGATGAACTGCCGTTTGTTTACCTTCAAGCTCTGCTTCAGTTGATTGACGTGTGTGCACGTGAAGCAGATGGTGAGCTCCAGTGCACACACTTATAATGTACATCTCAACATGTGAAAGTGTTTTTCCACATGTTTTCAACAAAGTTGTTCACAGTACTTATCCATCGACAGAATTTTTAATGTAGTCAAATGTGTAAACATTTAGCTGCAGTTTGCGCTTCTGCCTTTGGATGTCTCTGGAACAAAGCAGCTGCATGAATGCTAAAGCTTTAAATAAACAAATCAGCAAAAGCCTGACCACCTCTGTGTTAACAAATACAAGCGCAGCCGTTTAAAGGTCCATTTCTGGCTAATGATGTCAGAGTTTACCTGTATTGTAGAGTGGACGTGTGAATGGTCTTTTCTGGAAGAAATTACGGAACGTTCTTGCCTGTGTGAATAGCACTTATTGAATTCACCGGTCAAGTTGTTCTGGTAATTTTCGGGATATTTACCAGTATTGCTGTGTGAAAGGGATATATATAAATAGCTTTTGAGGATTGTTTTGGTCTACTTTATTTATATATATATATATATACACAAAGGTATTTAGTTTTCCCTTAATAATACAGAATCCTTTTTTAAAAACTGCATGACATGTTTGCTTGTTTTATCTCTGACTATGTTATAAATTGATTTGATGATCTGAAACATTAAAATGTTACAAACATGCAAAAAAAAATTATTAATCATTTAAATCATTAAGTATATATTATTTAATTCAAATTTCACTGGAGGGGTGATACTGCAGTTTTGCCTTCAACGTTATATTGTGTAGTAAATAAAAGTAAATTAAACTTTAACGTCAGTAATCATTATAGGCCTACTCTATAAAGCTCTTGTATGATTGCTCGGCTACATCTCAGGGGTTTCAGCCGTTCACATCCATGAAATCAGGACGGTGGAGATGCTGTCAGGTCTCTGGATGTTGGAGTGTCAGTTCTGGTTTCATGACTCTCAGGGCGTCCCTGAATCACTTTGGCTTCTGTTGCCGTTATTAGACATCTGGAATTATGAGTCAGACATGTGGCAGCAGAATGAAAAATGAATGAAATCTATAATTAAGCTGGGATCTCCAACATGATAATTAATTCCCATCCATTCACTGTTCTAATGACTGCCCCCTATTGGTAGTTGCTCATTGCACATAGACTTCATGAAATTACACAAAACAGATTTTTTGTTGTACAATCTGTGAAATTCTTGCTTTCGGGGACAGTAAGTATGGAGGGACCATTTTTAGTAGGCTTATTTTACTAGACATACTGTAACATTTTCAACTCCAAACTTTTATTACATTTTTTATTTTATTTTATTTCATTCATTTTATTTTATTTAAATAATTTAATACATTTTTTAAATTTATTTATACATATTTATTTTTCCTTTTTAATTTTTTAATTAATTTTATTTTATTCATTTTAATTTAATTTAATTTTATATTATTTTATTCATTTATATTTTATTGTATTTTATTTATTTATTTATTTTTATTTAATTTATTTATTTTTTTATTTATTTTTATTTTTATTTTATAAATTTTTGTTCTTTTATTTTGTTTCCTTTATTATTAATTTTTTGTTTTAATTCTTATTTTTGGTATTTTATTTCATTCATAATTTATTTTAAGATTTAGTTTTTTATACATTTAGATTTTTTTGTTATATTTATTCTTTTATTTTATTAAATTTTTTATTTTATTCATTTTATTTTATTCATTTTAACTTTAATTTTTTTTATTTTGTTTTTATTTTTATCAATTTTTATTTTTTTTTTAAATATTTTTTTTTCTTTTATATGTTTTTTTTACCTGAAATAGAGCTTTATACAAACTGTGTGTTTACAAACTTTACAGTCTTTCGTTACTTCTTACTATACATATTTCAGCAGGAATTTCAAGTAATTGAACAAAAAGTATGTATGTAAATTTATGAACTTTTTAAGGTGTAAAGAAATAATAAAAAATAACTTTTTTTTTTTTTGCCTTCAAAATCCTTTCAATCTTTGTAGTTTTTCGATTTCAATATTTTCAGCCTGCTGTGTCCAAACTTCTAAAAGATATAATATTAGAACATTTTATTAAATTGTCTTTGAATACAAGTAAAACAGTACATAGACATTTACGTAATTTGTTATGTCTGATGAACAATAATGAGCAAAAGACTCATTTATGAAGTGTCATCATAATGAGTATATAATAATGAGTACCTGACAAATGTGTTTTTTACAAGACATGCGATCAGGTGGTCAGAGCGAGTGAGGCTGCTACAATCATATGGAGCAATTACTATCTGATGCTGTCTGCTGTTTCCATGGCTACGCATCACCTCTTTTGAACCTTCTACCATTTCTCTCTACCATTCTATCTGAATGTCTTAGATGGGGGAACTGGGGGGCTCTTATTGTCTTTATGGATAATATTCTTCTCTTTTATTTCAAATTCACTTTATTTAGTAGTATTTGGGGTGTAACTTATAGGAATTTAGGGATATTGGTATTATTCATTGACATGCTTTCCAGTGCTGTGAAATAAATAATTGTAACAAACAAAAAGAGTCATAAGTAATGTAAAAGTAGAGAAATATTTTTATTTAAAGTATTAAAGAAAATGATTTCTGTGAGAAATTCTATTTTTGTGCGTCTGTTTCCACTCATTGGTTTTTAATATTATATTGAAATTGGCAATACAATGCAATATATATATATATATATATATATATATATATATATATATATATATATATATATATATATATATATATATATATATATATATATATTTATTTATTTATTTATTTATTTATTTTTTGGTATTTATTGCAATAACGATATTAGCAACAATATAATTCAGCATCTATTTCCACTTGATTAACCAAGCAAAAATAATAAAAAAGGAAAACAAACACACAGAAACAAATAAGTCAATACTTTTTGGCCTCATTGTGATGAATTACAAATTATGTGAAAGGCTGTTTAATAATGTTTTCTTGCAAAAATTTCATGTGTTTTTAATAAGCAGATTGTGGATTTAGACTTAAATGTATAGCGATTTATTTATTTTTTTATTTAATTTTTATTTATTTATTGTGATAATGATATCAGTGACAATATAATTCAGCGTCAGTTTCCATGCAAGTCTGCTTATGGCAATCGAGCAAAAAATAAAAATGAAACTAACACAAAAAGCCACATAA